GACACTAAGCCATTTATGACACAACACAGCTTTGTTCTTTAAGCCTGTCCAGTTTTTTTGGAGGACTTGCTCCTAGATTGGGAGATACAGCTGGAAAGCCTTTCTCCATCTTTGAGCCCACCACCTCCTTTTCACCCCCAGCCTTGCTAAGCACCAAGGAAATCAATTTAGTTTAAATCATCCTTGACTGGGAGGCTATTCAGTTTTCAGATATTCACAGAGAGACCTTAAGGGTCTTAAAAATTCCCTCCAATCACTTTACTTTAGATAGTTTGTAAGAAATAAAAGTCAGTCAGAAGCCCTGCTATTAATAGTGGTCAGTACAGTAAAGCCAGGGATAAACTTCTCTTAAGATTCTTTATAGGAAGTATTAACATACTTCAATACTCCCTCCTCTTCAAGCTCTAACTCCTTAGTCAATGAATGAGCTAGTTCTGCAAAAAACTAATACAAGTATGCTCTGCAAATCTTCCAATTGGCTGAGTCAGCTAGAAGAGGATTTGAGAGTACATTCTCGAACACATGAAGAAAACTCCTATCAAGGAAAAGACCTTTTGATGTGTTCCCAACTATTATGGGTAAACAAGGATTCAGCAAAAAGAATCCATGGGCCTTATAAAACTAAATGACCTTTCAGTGTTCTCATTTTTTTTTCCTGTGGAAAAACTTTCAGTATTGAACAGTTTGGCTTTTCCTTCATTCTCTTTGTGCCGCAGTTACTGAGGACACCTTATATATTAATCTCTTTTGTTCTTCTCCACAATTAAGGGGAAGAATAATTCTTCATACAGATTTCAAGCCAGGCTGTGTCAGTATCATACCTGGGAAGGAAATGCAACGTTTGACTATTTCATATTATGTGTTAATATAACTTCCCGAAAACGTCAAAACGTTCTATGTAGGCAGCAAAACCAGCGCGAACATCTATCACCCTGGGTGTAACCACTTTACTTCTAAAGCCTGAGAGCTTTTTGAGAGTCATTTTAAAAGCCACAGGTTGCTTGCTGGTTAACCAACTACCTCGAAACATATATTTGAGCTTTCTTTTTTTTTTTTTTTAATCCTAAAAAGGCATAAATCTATTTACTACTACTCTGAATGTTATACACATGTACCACAATACCTCCAGGCCACACATGTGGTGGCTGAGGTGTGGATATAAAGGGGAGAACCAGTGTTCTAAGAAGACAAAGAAAGGGACAGACCAATTCGACAGTGGGGCGGCATCAAACCAAATTTTTAAACTTGTTTTTATTAAAAGCAGCTGGTTAATGAATTGTAGAAGCAATCCATGTTTGCTTTTTATTTAAAGCAATTTATTGCTTTATTTAAAAAGCAATTCTCAGTGGGCTTCCCTTTTAGGTTATTTTCTACATAAATCAGTAATTTTATGTACTTCTTTGAATAGAAAATGGTATTTGCCTTTCTGATTTTTCACTTTGATACTTTTATTAGTATCAGAAACAAGTTAGCTGTAGACTGATTAAAATGAAAAGTGCGCTCTTCTCATTTTTCTAACAAACACAAAGATATTATAGGTACATCTCAAATTGCAATTATGTCAAAAAATGTGATTCTTCTGTACTATTTAGTGGCACATACAAGAGATCAGAGATCCTTTAAAAGTCACACTATAAACACAAACTCATGTTCAAACTCTTGCATTAAATTATCTTCTTCAAGGAAACTGCCAGGCATCTACCACTTACCTCATTTTTTATAGCTGTTGGAAAATTGCCTGATACACAAGCCTTTTAAAAACTGTAAAGCTGGGCTGCATCTGTGGTCAGTTATGTCCTCTTTCTTGAATTTTCTAGGTCAACAGCTGCAGAATACAGTAAGTAGTAACACCCTGTCCGCCCTGTCTTTAGCCACACTTAGGGCAGGGAAATTCCTTTCAAGATCTTTATTTTGTTGGATTTAATGAGGTACCTGAACACTTTATACTACATGTAATGGGAGTGAAACATTAAGCAGCAGGATATGAGCTTAGTATTCTTGTTTTTGCAGTAGAACAAATCCTTCCCTATTCCTGGTTTTGCTTATCCTGTCTTCTTCCCCACCCCTTCCCAACCACTTTCCTAGCACTGGAGTAACAGCGGGGTATTGTAATGCGTACCTAAAGCCTTATAATATACTGTTAAATGCAGCATTGCCTAATGAGGGAAAGAGTAAGCTTAAAAAAAAAAAAATCCCTTGTTGGAAAGTTCCTGAGATAAAGTAAAACCTATGACATAGATTACAACTATAAAAATTTTGAAAAAGGTATCGGTGGGCTAGTGTAGCCTTATATCCTGAGCGTCTTCATCTCCCTTTAATCTTTTCACTGCTACCATCTGACCCAGATGCCCACTCTGCTGCTTTTGTAGCCACCAAGTCCAAAACGCCTCACTCCAGCTACGAGTCACCAGGCAAGCAGAGCAGAAACGCAAGCCACCCCTCCTACATCTTTAAGCGGCAGCGGGAGGAGGCGGAGCGGAAAGCGGGGTGCAGGACGCCAAGCCTCCAAGAGGGGCGGGAACGTCTCCTGGCCACACCCTCACAGAGGCGCGGGAGGGAAGGGGCGGACCCGGTGACGTCATCGAGGAAACCCGCCCCGGTTGGAAGGAATTTGGAAGAAACTTGGAGGGCGGGAAGGAGGCGGAGTCTAGTTTCCCTGGTGACGGGTTGTCTGGCGGTCGCCTGGTAACGGGTCGCGGAGATCCTGGCTGCTGCAGCGCAGACGGCCTAGGCCGCGGAGGTCTGTGGGCCCGACCCCAGCCGGGCGGTTTCTGTCTGTCCTGCTATGGCTGCCGCCGCGGCTGTGGTCACGCCGTCAGGTTTGGAGGACGGGGTGCCTAGGTCCCGTGGCGAAGGGGCCGGAGAGGTGATCGTGGAGCGGGGGCCTGGCGCGGCCTACCACATGTTCGTGGTGATGGAAGACTTGGTGGAGAAGCTGAAGCTGCTCCGCTACGAGGAGGAACTCCTCCGGAAGAACAACCTGAAACCCCCGTCCAGGTGGGTGCTCTCGTGCTTTGGGGAGATGCCTTCTTTGGTCCTGCTGGGAACGCCGAGCGCGGGTTAGCAAGTCCTGGCTTCTGACTTCCTAGCCAGAGAAGGACACCCCAAACTTGGCGACAGAGGAGCTCACAGGGCTCAGACTGGGTATGTTTGTAAAGAGAGTAAACAAGTTTTGGAATGGCAGAAAGGACTGGAAGACAGCTTGCTCTTTTTTTAAACACACTTGCACTGCTAGAAAACACAAACCATGTATTTTCTGATTGTAAAGGTAATAAAAATACTCATTGTAGAAAACTCAGGAAAACACAAGAAAATGTGTATAAAAATACTAAAATCGCCCGTAATCTCATCTCCAGAGATGAATGCCATTATTTAAATCTGTCTCTAGTTTGTGGTTTTCTTTTTGAGATCCTGTCCCTACAACTAGCAACCATGGGTACGTAGGACCTTGCTGAGGAGCACTTTATATGCAGTTCGTAAACTTGTGGACTACTTGCGGTGATTTAAAAGATTTTTGCCTTTGCAGTAACAAGTACTCTCTGAAACTGGGAAGTAGAAAAGACAAATGAAATGACAATTATTGAAAATGCCCCCTTATCATAGAATCTAAAGTTATGTATGCCCTTGTGGTGGGGAAAAGTCCAAAATATCCTGAAGTCAGTGCCATTAGTTGTTGAGGGTAATCGACAGCTAGCACTTCCTCTAATTCCTGTAGCTCAGCTATAGCCAGATAAATAAGTTTTGTAGCTTTTTCTTCACTTTAATACTTACATTTATTTATTTTCTTCCATACAAGGCAATTAATATTAGAATCTATATCTTTATTGTCTACAGCCAAGCTCAAATAACTTCCCTTGACAGTTTTGATCTCATTTATCTGCTCTCTTCCAGTAACTTGAAAGATATGGAGGCTTTATGTAAACTATCCATAATACTAAATTAGTCCATAATAGGAGAACAGGTAGAGGAAAAAGTAGTGTTGCTTGATCCATGATAGAAGTAGTTGGACTTGGATTATTACTTAAAATGAATTTGTCAGGATAATATAGACAACCAACATTTCCTATGTTAATAAAAATGCAATTTTTTTCCAAGTATATTTTTCAAACCAAAAGAAAGTGACCTTGAGCTTCTGTTGATATCATCTGTGTACTCTTTCTTCAGGAGTTCAGCAGGGTACTTGTGTGGAGATGTACTAGTCCAGTGGTTCTCAAAGTATGATCATGGACCAGCAGTATCAGCATCACCTGGGAACTTACTAGAAATGAAATTCCTCAGACCCCTTCCCCGGTGTACTTTTTCAGAAATTCTAGGAGTGAGGCCTGGCAGTCTGAGTTTTAAGAAGTCTTCCAGGTTTGCAGTCCCCAAACTCTGAGCTGCAGACTGGTACCTATATGTGGCCTGTTAGGAACTGGGCTGCATGACAGGAGGTGAGCAGCGAGCTCTGTATTTACAGCTGCTTCCCATCGCTGGCATCACTGCCTGAACTCCACCTCCTGTCACCTCCACCTCAGCTGTGGCATTAGGTTCTGCATTATGGGTGGGTTGTATAATTATTTCATTATATATTACAATGTAATAATAATAGAAATAAAGTGCAAAATAAATGTAGTGCGCTTAAATCATCCTGAAACCATCCCCCCACACCTGCCGCCCCATCCCGTGGAAAATTTGTCTTCTATGAAACCAGTCCCTGGTGCCAAAAAGGTTGGGAACCACTGTTCCAGATGATTCTGATGCATGCTAATGTTTGAGAACCACTGTCCTAGGTCTACCATATCTATCAGTATTCATTTCTTTGTCCTCTAGGAGTTATCAGCTAATAAGGAAAAGATGAGTTTTGGGTGGATGGGTGTTTTGAAAGGGTTGTGAGTATATACCTGGAAGGACTTCATGGCCTTTTTTTTTCTTCCCATCTTTCTGTTATCTTCCAGAATATTTACACATATCCTGTAGGAAAAAGTTTGGGAAACATGATGCAGTAGACCACTGATTCTTAGGACACTAGTTATAACAGCTATAAATACATTGTAAACATAACAGTGATAGATATACATTAAAAAGCAAAATAAGATCTTTGATCAAACTGACTTGAATGTTGTTGCTAGCAAGTTTTATTCCTATCATGTTTAGGTATAAATCATGCTGATCCTCAAGGACTGTTTTAATTTAATCCACTGATGAGGGAAAAAGCAATGTTTGGTCAAGTAGCAGTATATTTATGAGCTCTTAAGGTGATTTGAATATGCAGCCAAGATGAAAACAGCTGTCTAGCATAGCTGATAGGTTAGAAATAGTAAATGCATAGTGAATGATTATTCTTTTTTTAACTCTGAAATTCTCTTAATTCCAAATTACCATTTTTGTTAGTAAGGTACTGATTAATTATTCTCAACACTTATATGATTTTACCAAAAATTCCACATTGTTTTCTAACATGCACTAGTTTTCCTGGGTGTAAGGTCTTTGATGTAATATTCTGTGTTCAGTAGTAATTGCCCTAATCCTGCTGATTAAAAACTTTAATGTGAGTGCTGTGGATTACTGGAAACCTCAAAGGCTGAATTATCAAAGTCTTTTGATTTGAAGGCCATTTGGCGGGGGGGAAGTTTCTTCGGCAATTTTGAACTTGGCCCCATTAATTGGTAGAGACTTTTACATTATTTCACATTCCCCTATTCCTCCTTGTTTTAAAACAGACACTATTTTGCATTGCCTACTAACCCTGGTGAACAGTTCTACATGTTTTGTACTCTTGCTGCTTGGTTGATTAACAAAGCAGGACGTCCCTTTGAGCAGCCTCAAGAATATGATGACCCTAATGCAACAATATCTAACGTTTTATCTGAGCTTCGGTCATTTGTAAGTGTAAACAACTCTCTTCTTTCTGCATGTTCTCAAGTTATGAATTTTATAATAATATTAGTAATTTAATGACAAATGCTAGCCTTTTAGATGACTCCTCCGTGAAAATATACAAAAGTATATCTGAATCTATTTTCAGGTAAAACCTTCTCAGAATGGTTGATATTGTAACATTAATGTCAGAAAATGTTCAGTGCATACTCTTTTAGCCCAAAGTAATATTTTTCTCAATCTTGGTATGTCTCAGAGGTAAATTTATGGGTGGTTAGTTCTCCTTCTAAAAAATGATAAAACTATGAATTCAAAACACTTTGTATGTTGAAAGGGAACTTTGATTTAATGGTCCATGATGGCAGTTGTACTTTTCATTTCTGATTTTTCTCGGCGACAGGCAGTAAGACATTTTTGGCACGTTATTAATTTTTGACAAGTGAATCACTCTGTCCTTCCCATAGTTGTTTAACAAAACTAGTAGTTTTACTGATTTTTTTTTCACCCTAACAAGATCAATAATTTGTCCTGCTGCTATTATGTTCTTGCCTTTTAATTTGGTAACTTTAACAATGAAACATTTATTTTCTTTTAGTTGTCTTATATATCAATTGATTAAAAAGACTTAAGAGATGGATTTCTAAGTAGCAGTATAATTACAGTTATTTTAAATCATTTGAAAGATAGAAAAGTGATACATCTACTCAGCCGTTCTTTGCTTATAATATTTTGACATTTGGAACATAACTAACAAATAATACCCTGTTTATCTTTTTGTTTTT